TGTGACAACCCTTCATTATTATTATTATTATTTTGGTCATGAAAAGGGTTAAAGCCGGATATAAAGATTTATCATCGTAAATCTAGTATCCCTATTTTATCACCTAATAAAACGTGAAGTAACTCCGCATGAGGTAATGAAAAAAAACTAGTATCTAAGCGCTTGTTGATTCCAAGATTAGCTTGTAAGAATTTTCTACTGCGGACTTCATTAATTGAAATTAATCGTATTAATTTGATCTAATAAAGGTAAGATATATGGGTTCTTAACAAATCTAATATGTGGTTGGCTAGTGTGGGCTGAGTACGGCCCAGCCGTTGATGAGAGGGCCTGTGGCCGAAACTCTATAAATAGCGTTCAAGTCCCTCCCCTAACCTGATGATGAACAATCTGACTCACATACGGATATAGAGAGGAATTTCTTCTCGTGAGTAGCAATCTCATTAGGCTAGTGCTCTGGCAAAGGGTATAGGAGAGAAACACTTAAGTTCGTGTTTGAAAACCGTTGCTAATTCCGTGTCAAGTTCGATGGTTTCCTAACCAAGTGCGCAAATCAATAACTTCACCATTTACGTGTTTCGGTTTCTGTTTATGGTGTTTCTGGGTGTGCCATTTTCGTGGCCGACAAAACTAACCAATTAGTAGAGAGATTTTCTTCTTGCAAGCTATGTTACACTTAAAACTCAAAGTGAGAGCGCAATAATCTTCAATTATCTTTAGGCAAAGTAGAGCCGGCATTATCAATCATAAGCTCTGGCCTAAGAAGATCAGTGATGGTCTTAGAGTCAATCTCAATAATAATCTTATCAAATCCAAGTTGTTTTGCAAAGTTGAGTCCCAACCATAAAACCCAAAGTTCTGCTCGTGTTGACGAACAGATTCTTACAAACACCGCAAAATCACCAATCCAGCCCCCCCTTCATTTCTAAATAAACCCTCTACACTAGCAAGTCCTAGGTTGTCTTTAGAGACCCTATCAGTATTATGTTTAATTCACTCAGAAGGTAGATGATCCCATCTGATCAAAATCGAAGAAGTGCATATTCCACTTAACGTCAAGTTATTCACATATGAAGTTTTAATGATTTCCTTTGTGTATGACCGAATTACTTGTACTGGATTAGAAGGGAAAGTGACTTGTTTCTCCGTGGCCAAAAGAGCCACGCACCTACTCCAAAAATTATGCTCCAATCATGATAAAAATTCGATCGCTTCTTACCGGTGAGATTTAAATTCAACCATTGCGATAAATTCATTGAGAATAATCACTTAATTACCCTACTACTAAAGTACTTATAATCTCTTAATTATAATCACTTATAATCATTTAATTCTAACTCTAAATCACACCTCTATACCTATGAAGATATGGACCAAATTTAAGGGCTTTACTAAAATGGATGAATTTGCACTTTCAAAATATATTTAATAGGACTTCATAAGTGCCTTAAAAGTGCTCGTTAATTTTTCTCTTCTAAGAATAAATGATTCTCGTGGCTGCGTAACTTTTTGCCCTTTTCCAAGTAAAGCCTAATGGCTGTGTAATGTTGATCTATGAAGTACAGTCATAAGACTAAATGCAAAGAAGGGGATAAACTATGAGAACACATATCGAACAAGTCTTCTCTCATTTAGAACATCGTGAACTTTGTAGATGATATAGCAGGAAAATAAAGTTTTAAGTATGTCTTATTTCTCTGGATCCACGAAACCCCGATAGCTTGAGAAACAACCATGCTACAGGGATTATCAAGGCCTGGACTTTGTTGTTTAGAACAGCAGTTCTCCCTCATCAAATAAGGTTAATGTGAATGAGAAAGAAGGGAGGAGGTTATGAGGAATGCTAAGCTTCTCTCAAAAGTGCCTTAGCAGCAGCAGAGTCTCTTGAGTATATGTTGTGGTGTTTCACGTCCTCTATTGCAGAAAGCACAAACCATCGTTGACAGGAATGCCTCTTTGTGCAATAGCATCTTTGCACCCGATTCTATTGTGAAAGCAGAGCCAAATGAAAGTTTGGATTGCTGGTATAGTTCTTGATTGCCAAATCCAAGACCAGTCATTTGGGATTTTTCTCCATTGGGGTCCCTGCCATTAGCCAAGTCGTAGGTCGACTTTGCGTGGAAATCTCCATTACTGAAAAGCTTCCACTTCAGAACATAATTGCCAACGGTTTCCCTTATTGATGAACACGACTTTGACGGCCATCTTAGGGCGTGTTTGGCAACCGGCCAAACAGTAACTATGTCTATTCTTTTGTTCCCAGAATTAGTTTTGGAATAGAAATTTGTTTGGTAAATTTTTGTTCCCAGGCACAAATTTGCAAAAATTTGTTTCCAGAATCAATTTTAGAACAAAATCAAGAAGCAAAAAAAAGTTGCTTCTTGATTCTGAAAACAAGAATCAGAAATGGAAAAGACAATTTTTCTTCGTCGGTCGCCAGCCGCCAACCACCGGCGACCGGCCACAAGCCAGGGCCGGCGAAGGGGTCACGGCCCTCGCCGCCTGGGCAAGGACCTCCCTTGCCGAATCTGGCATGGGCGATCCTCGCCGCCGCCCTCACTGGATCTGGCGTGGGTGACCCTCACCGCGGCCCTCGCCCGATCCGGCGAGGGCGGCACTCGCCCAAGCCGCGAGTCGTCCTCCTCGGATCTGGCGAGGGTGGCGGCGAGGGTCCAGCCCTCGCCCAAGCAGGCGAGGATGGCCTTCACCTGTGGCCAAGAGGGCCGTGACGCCCTTGCCGGCCCTGGCTTGTGGTCGGTCGCTGGTGCCGGCGATCTGGCCATGGCCAAGGAAGGGGGAAAAGAAGAAAAATAAAAGAAAAAAATATTAAAATATTATTAATAAAAAGAAATTTTATGCAGTTACCCAACGCATTTATGTTCTTTTTCTATTTCAAGAATATAAATTTTGGGCGGTTACCAAACACCTTCAAATGCTTAGAAATTGTTCCCGGGTACAAAATAAAAAAAAATCATTTTTGAATAGAAATTATTTTCGAGAACAGAATGGTTGTCAAACGATGCCTTAATGTCATTTGGTCGGACAACAGATAACTGTTCAAAAGTTTCAACGACCTACTACATCCACCCGCTCGGCCATTGTCATGGGGTGAAAGGAACCATGAATTTGATCTCGAATGGACAAGAATGTCCTATATAGCGAACGCAAACCGAATGCTATTTACTCAATATCTTAAGGGTTAATACAATGAAAAATCCCAAATTGGTACACTTGTGACAAATTTACCATAAACTAATTTTTTGACCATAAAAAATCTCAAACTGGTATACCTGTAATAAATTTATTCCAAACTAAATTTTTAATTGCTAAAAACCCTAAACTGGTACACTTGTGATAAATTTATTTTCCGTTAAATTGGATTAAAAAAAAAACCCACAAACTCTTACGCTTGCGACAAACGAAGGGTAAAACCCTAAATTGGTACATCCGTCAACTGTCACGTGCCATTTAACTTAGCAATTTGACAGTAAAATTTAACGAAAACTAATAGAGGGTAAATTTGTCACATGTGTACCGGTTTGAAAATTTTTTGGGGTAAATTTGTCACAAGTATATCAGTTTGGGATTTTTCATGGTATTAACCCATATCTTAATGAGAAATTTCTTTATAATCTGAGTGCTTCTTTGCTAACTTTACTCGACTATTCCATGAAAAATTCTTAAGAAGGGAGGGAATGGAATTAGAAGAGGAACTATGGGCCCGTTCGTTTCACGGAAAATGAGTGATTTAGAAAATATTTTTCCGAAAAACGATTGCTTATATTGTTAACAAAAATTAGTCAACGAAAAATATTTTCATCATCGATAATAATTTATGTCTAATTATTTTCGTGAGCAATGAAAAAATTTACTATTAATTTATTTTTCTAAACGATATAAACAATCATTTTTCGTAAAATGTTTTCCAAATCACTCATTTTTCGCGAAACGAACGCACTATAATTTCTAAAATTATTCTATCAGATCAAACTAATCACATATTATAGAAGAAATGGATAATGACACAAATGGTTCATAAACTTTGACCTAATGTATAATATGGTCCATGAACTTTATCTCAATGTACAATGACGTCCCTGAATTTTTAATTTATTCAATGTGATCCCTGAAATTTTGGTACATGTTCAATTAGTCCTTAGACTGTGTGAAAATGTTTAATGTTGTTCTTCCATTAATTCAAGTTTAGGGACAATACTGAACATTTTTATACAGCTCATGGACAAAATTGAACATGTACCAAAAGTTTAGAGACCACATTGAATAAATTAATGTTCATGGATCACATTGCACATTGGGATAAAGTTCATGAACTATATTTGCGTCATTTACCCTAAAAGAAAATAAATAGCGATTCACCCTTATTTCATAAAAAAACATTATTTTTAATATGTTCTTTACCTTATCAACTCTGTCCCGGTAGTGTCCACGATATCATTTCGCACTTCCTAGTGATTCACCCTGATTTCATTAAAAACATTATTTTTAGTATGATCTTTACCTTAACAACTCTGTCCCGGTAATGTCCACGATATCATTTCGCACTTCCTAGATGAAAATATGAATGAACCCATCAATTTCTTCTTGCTAAACAATCGATTCGTTAACGAAGAGAAAGTGGAGTTTACGGTGGACAAACATCGATGGAAGCGTGTGGGCTCATCCTGTCTGTTCCCGGGAATGGAGGCTTTTTAATCCGCTGGTATAGAGTCATGCCCTTTGCTTTAGCTCCGTAAATGAACGAGGACATCCATAGTCAACTCCAGCAATAAGAAAGATTCCTCCTTTTTTGCAGTCTTCGAGTTCACCAACGTTGCCCGAAAGACCGACTTCAACGTTGCCCGAAAGATACTTTTCCAATGTATCTCTAGTCTTGCACAGCTGCGTTGTTGCCTCGAAAGCTCCATCTCATCTCATTTTTTAAGTAAGCAGTCCAATTCTTGAATGTTGACACGTTCTGTCTACAATACTGAGTTTAAAAGATTAATTCTTTAAATAAAAGAAAAAGGATATTCGATACTTGGTCGCTTCCCATGACAAAAGGCAGAGAGAGACCAAGTCTTGTTCTCTTCTTCTCTCTACAGATCTGAAATCCAAGTTCTTGGCAAAATCTTTGAACGACAGCTTCTGGGTATGTTCCAAGAAAGGTTTGCTCTAACTGCTGATTGATGAACAGGAACTGAAACGGAAGAAGGAGAAGGAAGAAGAAGAGGAAGATGGGATTGGTGGGAGAAGAGAATGGGGGCGCAGATTCACTGGGGATTGGCAAGAACAACAAGTACAAGAGGATGGGTTCGGAGGTCGACGACGACGACGACTTCGACGACGACTTGATTCATTACCAGCGTCAGCTGGAGAAGAGGAAGAGCACCAGGAGATATGTTATTGCCTGTGCGGTCTTTGCATCTCTCAACAATGTTCTTCTCGGCTATGGTAATGACGTGGCCTCTGTCTCTCTGTTCGTTTCTTAGCAGCAGTTGTGTTTTTGATGTTCGAGACCAGTTCTTTACCGCGTATATTCGTCTCTACATGTTGTCTTCAAGCTTTGATCTGCTGTTTTCTTCCGTCTCTGTAAGCCGTACGACTTGGCTCTTTTACCTGATTGTCGGCAAGGGAAAGAAAAAAGTTCCCAGTTTGTTAATCTGTACATTCAGTTTGAAACCTAAAGCGGTTCTTATCTGTCAGAGTGACCATCCATCACTTAGATGGAAGCCATTCTCATACCAACGTGTGTCTTGATCTTTGAGATCGCTCAGGAAAAAAGATTTCCTCTTTGGTGTATGTAGTATTAATCTATATTGTTTTAGTATATCTTAGGACACTTTTCTGTGAAAACCATCGATCTTTTCTCGAAACGGTTCTCGTCCTTTGTCAATTGAGGATAATTCCTCTGCTTTTTGTATATTAAGAATTTTGATTTTCGGGGTGTGATGGTATGGTCATGAGGAGCATCATCAGAATGCTATATTGTTAGATTCACATTTTTTTGGATGATCAATCATAACTACCAGGGTGAACTGCCTGCTTTGATGCTAACAACTTTAATTAATGTCCCCTACTTTCCTGAGCTTTTGGGAAGATTATGATGACATCCGAGAACTATTTCAAGATATTATGATAATTCAACACTCTTACTGTCTTTTTAAGTCCAGAAAAGCACGGGCTTCTTTAAGCCAGAGAAATTTTGGCTTTGGTCGTGGTCCGTGTTCTAAAGATTGGTCAGTCTGTGAACTTGAGTAATTTCTGACTTTAAACGTAAGATTGATTAGATTTCTTTGATCCTCACTTCTCTCATACTAGATCTTGAGCAGTTTCTAGTTTGGCATTTTGTTGTGATGCTTGTCGAATAACTTGAAATTTGACCTTAAGTTTCGTCCTTACCAATATGCAGATGTTGGAGTCATGAGCGGGGCAATTTTGTTTATTCAGGAAGATCTAAAAATAACCGAGGTTCAAGAAGAAGTTCTCATTGGTTGTTTGAGCATAGTCTCTCTTTTCGGTAGCTTAGCTGGGGGCAGAACATCGGATGTAATCGGTAGAAAATGGACCATGGCTTTAGCAGCTGTTGTCTTTCAAGCCGGTGCCGTTGTTATGACGTTTGCTCCTACTTTTGAAGTGTTAATGATTGGAAGATTCTTGGCCGGGGTCGGGATTGGACTGGGAGTCATGATTGCTCCTGTTTATATTGCTGAGATTTCCCCCACTGTCAGTCGGGGGTCCCTCACTTCGTTTCCGGAGACCTTCATAAACCTCGGGATTTTACTGGGTTACGTCTCGAACTATGCATTTTCAGGCCTCTCTGTACACATCAGTTGGAGGGTTATGCTCGCTGTTGGGATTTTGCCCTCTGTCTTCGTTGGCGCTGCCCTTTTCATAATACCTGAGTCGCCGAGATGGTTGGTCATGCAGAACCGAGTGGACGAAGCGAGGTCAGTGCTGCTAAAAACAAATGAAAATGAGAGTGAGGTTGAAGAGAGACTCGCAGAAATACTATTAGCTGCTGGAATTGGTAATAGTGCAGAGAAGTATGAAGAGAAACCCGTGTGGCGCGAACTGCTGAGCCCTTCTCCTGCCCTGCGGCGGATGCTTATCGCGGGATTTGGGATCCAGTGTTTCCAGCAGATCACGGGTATCGATGCCACTGTTTATTACAGCCCCGAAATCTTCAAACATGCTGGAATAAAGGGCAATTCCAATCTCCTAGCGGCAACCGTCGCTGTTGGGGTCACGAAAACTGCATTTATACTAGTAGCTATAATTCTAATTGACAGACTCGGAAGAAAGCCTTTGCTGTATATTAGCACAATTGGTATGACTGTTTGCTTATTCAGCGTGGCCACGACTCTTGCTTTGCTGAAAGAAGGACAAGCCAGTGTCACGATGGCAATCCTTTCAGTCTGTGGTAACGTAGCTTTCTTCTCTGTGGGCATTGGACCGGCATGTTGGGTATTGACAACGGAGATTTTCCCTTTGAGGCTGCGTGCTCAAGCGGCAGCACTCGGGGCCATCGGTAATAGGGTGTGCAGCGGGCTCGTGGCAATGTCCTTCCTCTCGGTTTCCCAAGCAATCACAATGGCCGGCACATTTTACACCTTCTCGGCAATTTCTGCGCTGTCTGTCGTGTTTGTTTACACACTTGTTCCGGAAACAAAAGGAAAATCCTTGGAGCAGATCGGGTCCTTATTTGAAGACCAAAGCGATTGGAAAGGAGACGAAGTCGAGATGGGAGATGTTGAGCATCTTGTGCAGAAAAAATAAATCAGCTTATCACTACTGGATGAGCAACAATACCCTACATTGTTGGTGAAGGAAATACAGTCGGTAGTTTGCCAGATTATCATTTTGTTGATACAGTTTCTTTACTGGATAAACTACTTTTGAAGTTGTATGTTCTATTAATTTGAGCTGTATTCGTCGATTCTTAATCTCATATAAGTTAAATAATTCTCTTCGGAAACTTAGCCCAAATATAATATGTGAAGTAGAGAGATGATTAAATTAATTTTATCGATAGTCGTAATTAACTATCGAACAAAATATCGTGATTTACATAGGAAATGACGCTTACGCTGTCCATCTCAATGGAAAATTATAGTAGTGGCTCACCGGGCTCAAAATTATCATCCAGCCCGGGTCTATTTATCGTGCCCTCGGACCCCCAGGCCGTTCCTGGTACTACAATGCCAAGAGATTCCAAGAATTTCTTCGGCAAGAAACAGGAGAAAACATCATTTTCCTCTGTTTAATTTTTCGGGTGTAAACTGATCAGTGATTCCTGTATTTTAGTTCTCTTTCTCTGGAGCTGTCCCCTGACCTCAGAAGCAACATTTTGAACTCATTTGAAAGTGGAAAAACGAATCTTACTGATGCATACATGACATCATTGGCAAGAAGACGGGCGGTGTGATTGGTCGTATCGTTCTCTTGCCGATCCATTTGAAAAAAACCTCAAAAAGCATCTCCAGGATATGATCAAGGTCACCAGTCAGCATTGATAGAAGACAGGCAGAGACACAGAGGAGGAGAACACGGGATCAGTTGGAGCTGAAGAAAATGGGAGTGCCTGGTTCAATGAGGAATGAGAGGAACAAGATAATGGAGTCCGATGGTTTCGGCGACCATCCGGTTCGTCACCAGCATCGGTTGGAGCTGAGGAGGAAGAGCAGCAGAAGATTCTATGTCTTCCCTTGTGCAGTAGGCTATGGTAACAAACTCAAGAGTCTCCTCTGTTTTCTGAGTGTTTGACTGCTATAGTCCCAGTTGATGGGTTTCACCACATTAGTATTGAGCCCCTAACATTTTCAGTCAATTTCCTAACTGTTACCAAGAACAAAATGTGAACTACATGGGTTTGCACTGTTCCTAACATTGCTTTTGGGCAATGACACTGCAATTACATAAACTTTTGGCCGTTCTCCAATCAAGTAACTGATTTTCTTTTTATTAAATCAAGTACCTAAACTGTTTGAACTTTTTTCAAGCTAGTACTTCCATAAACAATTTATGGAGTAGTGATATGAGTAGTCTCTAAATTTTTTTTCAATGCTTAATATGGTCCCTGAATGGTTTTTTGTTCAATCCAACCCAAGAACTTTAAAAAATTTGCTTAATGTAATCCTTTCATTAAGTGTATCAGCACAATATGTGCATGTTTCTGACACGGATTGCCATATCAATGTTAATTGGGTAAAAATAATGATGTGGATTGCTATACCCTTCTCCCAAGTCCAAAACTATTATCTCTTTTTTTCCCTTCTTTTTGGGTCAAAATATAAAAACGCGAAAGCCACATGTAAACCATGTGCATATCAGTGTGGCAAATATGATATCAAGTTAACATAAATTATGGTCATGTTTAGAGGGTAATTTGGTTAGTCAACTAAACAATTTCTGTTTTAGCAAAAAAAAAATGGTATGAAAATAGTGCCACCCTTTAGAAATTAATGTTTACTCTCTCTATATTTATCTGATTAGGTAATTAGGTTTAACTCAATGTCTGGAGTGAGGGATTTAACTTAGATCTCTCCCTCCCCTCCCCCTTTGGTTACTCTTCTTTCTATTTTCTCTTGTTTGCTGCTCTACTCTTTGTCGATCTAGATTTAGATATGATAGTTATGCTCTCTTGATCCGATCTAAATCTGTAAGTTTTTCTCTCCCAATCTAGTTTTAGATTTAGGAGTTTTAATGAATAAATACTTAGTTTCCAGATTTAATGGTGTTCACAGCAACATCAATGTTAGATTTGTGCTTATTCAATCTATTTTTGTTAGAAGTTTTAGTGTTTCGCACTTGCTAAAGGGCTTACTCTCACAAGTGTCAGATTTGAGCTTGTTCAGCATATTTTTGTTGTCTTTGTACAGGATGGTGTCAGAGATATCGAACCTAGGTGCACATCGCCAAAAGGTAAAACCATAGATATAGACGGAGATCTCGTTATGTGCTAATCACTGATGATGATGTATGATTTGGTGATTGGTTGCCGATCCATTTATTTGGATGTAGTACAGACCTCTTCTTGAATGACGAGCATGTGCTTATCTCTATAGACCATTCTTTGATAACATACATGGGTTTTTGGATTTTGGTTTCTTTTGCAGCTCTATGCACATGCTTTTTTGTGGTGATTTTTTGGATTTTTCATAAATCCTTTCATGCATCATTTTGATAATGAATAGAAATTTTCTTTGACAAAAAAATAAAAATTGATAAGAGATCATTGAGTTATATTACCAAGAGTTGGTTTTTATTTCCCTTTCCTTTACCTTTTTCTCCCGACTTCCATCCCTCTTGCTATTTGTTATTCGAGATTATTGAGATATTGCCAAAATTTTGTGTAGTTTCTCAAGAACCTCTATTACCCTAGAAAATGATTAAGTGGTTTTAGGTGGCCATGGAAACTGAGTCGCCTCTCGCGTCAAGCCATTTCGTCTCTTCGAAGACATCCAATAAAATTGAAATGACACGTTAGATCCTTGCTTTTACCTTTGTTCTTTCATTAAGATCAAAATCAATGCGATAATGACAATTCCCAAAAGATCTTTAGGAAGGGCAAATGATTTTTGTCCACGTGGCGAAACGTAACCTAAAAATAGGGCACATTTCTTGATTAGGAAAAAGAAAAGACCGAGGCACTTTTGACATCCAAAAAGCTCCTTCTACTTTCTGGTTGATGGGAAATGCTCGTTGTCACAGGAATCCAAACACAAAGCAGGCCACTCCCGTCAAACTGTGCCTGAAAATATAGGGCCTAATTCCAAATGAAAATACAAACTTCAAGTCGAGTAACAATTTTAATTTTAATTTTTTTATCTTATAAAAAATCACCAACTTTCATTTAAATCCCAAATCCGGCCCCCTTAACTTAAAAACATTGATTATCCAACTTGACTATTCCACCTCAACAATAAATTCACGTGACTTGTTGAGTGGATTTAAAGCATTATTCATTATCTTCTTCTTTGAGTTACAGCTTGAAAAATAACTGCAAAATTGTTCGTCTCCTTCGCTTCATCGGCAAGTAAAAAAGATCTCCAAATTGAATCTATCTGACCAGACTTCGTTGTTTTGTCATAATCTAAAGTTGTAGACTGCCGTCCATCGACAAATGCCATGGACGAGATCCGTCAAGCTCACGACCATAACCTTTTTTCTCAAATAAGGGTGACTTTAGAGAGAGATAGAGTCAACTGAGGGGGCTAGATTTGGGATAAGGATGAAAGTTTGTGATTTTTTATGAGACAAAAAAAAAGTTAGGGCTAGAATTGTCACTCGACTTAAAGTTGTAGATTACCGCTCGTCGACAGACATCATGGACGAAATCCGCCAAGCTCACGACCATATCCTTTTTTCTCAAACAAGGATGACTTTAGACAGAGAGTCAACCGGGGGGAAGATTTGGGACATTGGTGAAAGTTGGTGATTTTTTATGAAACAAAAAAAAAGTTAGGCCCAGAATTGTCACTCGACTTAAAGTTGATACTTTTTTATGAGACAAAAAAAGTTGGGATCAAAATTATCACTCGATCTAAAGTTTGTCTTTTTTTTGGAATTAGCCCTTGAAAATAGAACCCTCGATAACTAGGAACACATGGACGAGACCCGCCAAGCTCAAGACCATATCCTGTTTTTTCAAACAAGGGCGACTTTAGAGAAAGAGTCAACCGGGAAAAAAGATTTGAGATAAGGGTGAAAGTTAGTGATTTTTTATTAAACAAAAAAAGTTTGGGTCAGAATTGTCACTCGACTTAAAGTTGATACTTTTTTATGAAACAAAAAAAAATTGAGGCTAAAATTGCCACTCGACCTAAAGTTTGTGTTTTTATTTTGGAATTAGCCCTTGAAAATAGAACCCGCGATAACCAGGAACACATGTTTGTTACTAAAGAAATTCGTTGTTATAAGAAGGAAATAACTTGTTTGGGCTGAAAAAATTGTAGCGGCTCACCGTGCTCAAAATCATCGTCCAGGCCCGGGCCAGTCTACCGTGACGTCGGGCCGCCCTCCAAAGGCCCAAGAGATTCCGCACTCTGGTGCAAACCGCCAAGAAACAAAACAGGAAAAACGATCATTTCCTCGCGTCTTCCTCGTGTTTTCTTCACGGGGGGGTCGAATTATTTCCCAGAACCTTACTCCACTGTCCCTGTCACGTGACCTGGGAAGCGACTTTTTGCTTACTAAAACTGAAAAAGATATCTTGCTTGTACGCATTGCATACCCGACATAATTGGTAGAAAAATTGACAATGCGTGGTTGTATTGTTCTCTCACGGATCCTTTAAGAACCTCAGTCAACATCTCCAGGATCCATAAACTTTGGAGTCATTTGCTAGCATTGATACAAGACAGGCGGAGACACAGCGGAGCGGAGGAACATGGGAACAGTTGGAGCTGAAGATGATGGGAGTGCACGTCCAGTGAGGAATAAGAACAGGGCAGTGGTGTCCGAGGTCAACGATGATGGTTTTGACGACGAGCCGACGGGTTACCAGCAGCCGTTGGAGATCCGGAGGAAGAGTAACAGAAGATTCTATGTGTTTGCTTGTGCAGTCCTTGCTTCCCTCAACACTGTTCTCCTGGGCTATGGTAACAAACTCGAAGTCCCTCTCTGTTTTGTGAGTGTTTGACTGCTGTAGTCCCAGTTGATGGGTTCCAACACATTAGCATTGAGCTTCTAATTTTGTTTCAGTCAGTTTCCTTACTCATTATCCAGAACAAAATCTGTACTGTTTTGGCCTGGATTAACCTTTGTCTACGCCGTTGTTCATGGAATTTTCTGATTTTCAGAGACACATTGTGCAAGGTGTGAAAAGTCAAAGATTGGTGAATTTTGCCCTTGTTGAGTGGTCTCTAGAATTGCACCTTTTGTAGTCTCAGTTCGCTTTTCTCAAGCGCTCTTGACATAAATATCGCTAGTACGTATGCCGTTCGAGTCTGATGCACATCCAAACACGGATGACCTAGTGAGATTTTCCGTATCTTCTTCTTGTTGGCTAAAGGAGGCTGCTACTATGTGAACCTTTTGTTGTATTATATGATTTTCTGTTAGCTGGGATTGGACGGGGTTTGCTTGTTAATAAAAGTTAGAAAAGCCAATTTGAATGTCTCACGAGTTTCTTCACCTTTCCTTAGATTTTGAACAGGTTAGTGATGTCACAAATGACTTGATGTGTCTTTGCTACTCTGCAGATGTTGGTGTCATGAGTGGAGCAATCATATTCATTCAGGAAGATTTAAAAATAACTGAGGTTCAGACAGAAGTCCTTGTTGGTTGTTTAAGCGTAGTTTCGCTCTTTGGTAGCTTAGCTGGTGGCAGAACATCAGACATGATTGGCCGAAAATGGACAATGGCTTTAGGTGCTATTGTCTTCCAAGTGGGTATCGCTGCTATGACTTTCGCATATTCATTTCAAGCACTGATGATAGGGAGATTGCTGACTGGGGTTGGGATTGGCATCGGCGGTGTGATAACGTCGGTTTACATTGCCGAGATTTCGCCATCCATCAGTAGGGGAAGCCTGACCTCATTTCCAGAGATCTTTGTGAACATAGGAATTCTACTTGGTTATGTCTCAAACTATGCATTTTCAGGCCTCTCCGTACACATTAATTGGAGGGTCATGCTTGGAGTTGGGATGTTGCCCTCCGCTTTAATCGGTTTTGCACTTTTTGTGATCCCCGAATCACCAAGGTGGTTGGTCATGCAGAACCGAGTTGATGAAGCAAGATCAGTGCTTTTTAAGACGAATGGAGATGAGAGTGAGGTGGAAGAGAGGCTCGCAGAAATACAATTAGCAGCTGGAGCTGGTAACAATGCACAGAAGCAAGGAGAGAAAGCCGTGTGGCGTGAACTGTTGAGCCCTTCTCCTTCTCTACGCTGGATGCTAATCACTGGCATTGGACTCCAGTGCTTCCAACAGTTAACGGGCACAGACGCTGCAGTGTATTACAGCCCAGAGATTTTCAAAGATGCTGGAATAAAGGGTAATTCGAATCTACTAGCGGCTACCATTGCTGTGGGCGTTACCAAGACTTCATTTGTACTGGTTGCTACATTTCTGATAGACAAGCTTGGAAGGAAGCCTTTGCTTTATATTAGCACGATCGGCATGACAGTTTGCCTGTTCAGTGTGGGAGTCTCTCTTTCTTTGCTTAAGGAAGGAGTTGTTGGTGCCGCGCCTGCATTGGCAATAATATCTGTTTGTGGTACTCTAGCGTTCTTCTCGGTAGGAATTGCCCCCATTTGCTGGGTGCTAACCTCAGAGATTTTCCCTTTGAGGTATCGTGCTCAAGCAGTGGCGCTTGGGGCGGCTGCTAATAGGGTATGCAGTGGGCTTGTTGGCATGTCCTTCCTCTCAGTTTCTCACACAATCACAGTAGCCGGCACATTTTTTGTGTTTGCCGCGATGTCAGCTCTTTCGGTCGCGTTTATTCACTTGGTTGTTCCAGAAACCAAAGGAAAATCACTGGAGCAGATTGAGTCTCTTTTTCAGGATCACTATAGTGGGAAAGGAGGCTATGTCAAGATTGAAGATGTCGAGGATCACGTGCACGAATAGTCACTTACCTATTGCCATCTTCAATCTACGTGTGGAGCTTCAGTTCAATATAAGGAGGTCCAGCATCAAGAATTAGAAACAGTTATCAACCTCTCGAGCAAGCGAAAGCAGAATCTATCAAGTTGAAGTCATTGTTAAAATTACCGTCACTCTCTTCTCGGATGGCTGCTTAGCCTGACAAGTCCGATAAATGTCAGCACATATTAACAGAGAAATCATAGCTTGCGTTATTGAGGAATCCTAATATTTCCAACTTTCATATTTGAAATGCTCTGTATTATATCCTAGAGAAGTTCACCTTCAATGAAACATTGAAACCATTTCTGATTCAGAATTCCTGCTTTTACCTCGAAAAGTACTCTTTCCTTTTGGCCATATACGTGGAAAAAATTACTCTTGATTTTAGAATATATACGGTTGCATGCTTAGAGTATAATTCTCCTTGTGTCATACTGTGGTATACTTGGAAAGGGTGCAAAATATCCCTCCCTTTGTTTAGTCTTTTCTGATACATGAACCGGTCGAAATGAGGACTTTGCCTATGATTCCGTTGCCCAGTGTTTTCATCGGAGTTCTCTAAATTGACGAGGAACATTACACATCTTGAGAAATTGAAGCGAAAAATAAATAAAGAAAATTGTCTGATTATACAGAAAGGGCCACAGTTTACAAATAATGCAAGAGCAATACGAAGGACAGAGTTTCAGAGTTCAAAGTCGTTAGATATATGATCAATCTACAATTCTGGGCAACATTGCCTGACGGTGATGTCATTAAGAATTTTGAGAAAACAGTTGTCTAACATGTGCCAGAACTTCTTGGCATTCCCTATTGTTATCATTATGTCTGCTTCGGACATTATGCTAGGATTCACGATCGCCATGCCAATGGCTTTCTGTCTGAAAGCTTATGTCAGGCTCATAACAAATGTTGGGGATATATGAACGATAATACGACCTTAAACCACGCAAATTCAGTTTTTTAATTTGTTATCAACAACACTTGCTTAGATTGCAAGCAACTCAAGTAAAGTTATCGAGAGGTCCCGTTTTCTCTTGCTTTGGAGGTTGATAAATTTTCTTCTTTTCCTGTAGATGATGGACCTTCTTCAATAAATGCATACCAGCAAGAAGAAAAACTGAAATCTGATGAAGTTTTCCCCTACAGTCAGCTTTCCGGTAAAGAAAAGTTGGGCGACTACTGAAGATGCCAATAATTAAGCGACTGGACCTGCACAAGATGCTCAATCTTCCAGCCTTTCCAATCATGTCTGTTCTGAAACAGCGACTCAATCTGCTCCAGTGGTTTTCCTTTAGCATGCTGGACAAACACAATGCAACAAAAATACCCGGCGTTGCAGCAAATACTAAAAACGTTCCGGCCACCATAGTTGCTTGAGAAATTGAAAGGAAGGACATGGAGACAAGACCGCGGCACACACTATTACCAGCCATCCTGTGAGCCGCTGCCTGCGCACTATACCTCAACGGGAAAATCTCCAACGACAATGTCCTACAAATGGGGTCAATCCCCATAGAGAGCAAAGCCACGTTACCACAAAGAAGAAGAATAGGCAACAAAGGTGCTGCCCCAGCTCCTCCTTCCTTTATCAAAGATAGAGACCCCCACACTGAATAAGCAAACAGTCGTGCTGATGCTGATAGTGCTACTATAAGGCAAAGGCTTCCTCCCGAGTTTGTCAATCAGAAATATAGGTACCATTATAAGTGTAGTTTTCATATCCACCACAGCAATTGTACCTGCAAGAAGATTCAAATTACCTCTCCTTCCTGCGTGTATGAAAATCTTTGTGCTGTAAACGACGGCAGCATCAATATGCCTGCAATCTGTCTGAAACACAGGATTCCAATTCGCGCTATTAGCATCCGCCGTAGAGGAGGAGAATGGCTCAGCAGTTCACGCCACATGGCTTTCTCCATGTACTTCTCTGCATTATTGCCAGCTCCAATGGCTAATTGCATTTCTGCAAGCCTCTCATCCACCCTCTCGGGAAATTGATGGTTGTGACTACTGATTGCTGCTGCAGTACAAAAAGATTTACTCCGAGAGAACCTAGTAGTTGCTTGGCAATGCACATCATGATATCTACTTAGGTAGATCGATTAGATTTCAACTGTACAGATGCATATATTTTAAAACCACCTGCCAGAGACGATTCTTTTCCAGTCGTGGTGGAAAAATTAGTTGCTTTGAACGAATTTTTCTTCCTAATATGTGCAACTCATAGTGAATTAAATTGAATGGACACAGCATCATTAGTAAATAATTTTTTTTTTTTGTAAAACTGGAACCTTGAGTGCAAAATGTAACAAGGTTTTGATATTTGAGTCAGATTCGTGAGCTAAAGAAACTTTGGAAACTTTTAGAAATCTGAGGACAAACATCACTTGAACTCATTTTCTTGATAATATGGTGGAAGCTTCTTCATTCATAGTATAAAACATAGAAAATATGCCGTTTTTTTGCATTGTCATATTTTTCTTCCCACTAAAGTTAAGAGTGGATATAAAATGATTAGTGCAAAATGAGTAATGAAGAATAATTCGGTAGACTTTCAATATTGTTCTTGATGACATGTGCTCGGGAGGTTGACAACTTCAGTTTTTCTCTACTGGATAAAGGACATTTTACAATGCTTGCATATCCGCAATGTGAGTCAACAAATCGTGATGAAATATGGTTTTTTCTTCTGTAATCAGCTTCTTGTAGAGAAAGTTCTGTCATTTGCTTGTCTGCTGAAGATGTTGGTACTTAAGTGACTATTTCTGCACAAGATGCTCAACATCTTCCATCTCGACATGGCTTCCTTTCTGATCATGCGGGTTCTCAAACAGCGACTCGATCTGCTCCAATGATCTCCCTCTTGTTTCTGGGACAAGTGCGTAAACAAATGCAACAGAAGCAGCTGAGAGTGCAGCAAATAAAAAGAAGGTTCCAGCCACGGTGATTGCTCGAGAAACCGAGAGGAAGGACATGGAGATGAGCCCACTGCACACCCTATTGCCAGCCGCCCCAAGCGCTGCTGCTTGAGCACGATACCTCAGAGGGAATATTTCTGAGGACAATACCCAAGAAATAGGGCCAATTCCAACAGAAAAGAAAGCTACATTACCGCAAACAGAAAGAATCGCCAACAAAGGTGCTACCCCAGCTACTCCTTCCTTTAGCAAAGAGAGAGAGACCCCGACACTGAACAAGCAAACAGTCATGCCTATCGTGCAAATATAAAGCAACGGCTTCCTCCCAAGCTTGTCAATCAGAAATATTGCGACCAGTATGAAAGAAGTCTTGGTGATACCCATGGCAACCGTAGCTGCGAGAAGATTCGAATTTCCTTTCATTCCAGCATCTTTAAAAATCTCTGGGCTGTAATACACGATAGCATCTATGCCTGTTATCTGTTGGAAGCACTGGATTCCGATACCCGTGATTAGCATCCGTCGTAGAAGAGGAGAAGGGCACAGCAATTCACGCCACACGGGTTTCTCTCCGTATCTCCTTGCATTATTACCGGCTCCAGCAGCTAATTGTATTTCTGCGAGCCTCTCTTCAGCCTCTCTCTCGTCTTCGTGTGTCTTTAAAAGTACCAATCTTGCTTCTTCGACTCGGTTCTGCATGACTAACCATCTTGGTGATTCAGGGATTACAAAGAGCGCGAAACCGATGAAGACTGATGGCAAAATCCCAACTCCAAGCATGACCCTCCAATTTATGTGCACTGAAAGGCCTGCAAATACATAGTTTGATATATAACCGAGTAGGATTCCTAGATTCACAAAGATCTCTGGAAAAGAGGTGAGTGTGCCCCGACTGATGGCTGGTGAAATTTCGGCAATGTACAGCGAAGTTATCATGCCTCCGAAACCCATTCCAACCCCAGCCAGCAATCTTCCTATCATTAGTACCAGAAATGAATCAGCAAAGGTCATAACAGCTATGCCCACTTGGAAGACGACAGCAGCTAATGCCATCGTCCATTTTCTACCGATAATGTCCGATGTTCGGCCACCGGCTATGCTACCAAAGAGTGAAATTACGCTCAAAGAACCGACAAGGACTTCAATCTGAACCTCAGTTATTCTGAGATCTTCCTGAATGAATATAATTGCTCCACTCATGACACCTCCATCTGCAAGTAGTGAAGCATATCGATTCATTCGCGACTTAACAAAGTGTGGATGGATTTAACTGAAGGTGAGCAGCTTGTGACACATTAATCTACCGCAAAATCATCCACCCACCTAAGAGAGAACCAGAGATGGACAAAAATCTGATGTCCATGATCAATGCAAAAAGCATATCACTGAAGCAAATGCTTACACAGAAGTGGACATTAGGCAATAAGAACTTAGCAACTTACTAATTACCAATGCAACACAATGCTTAGCATTCAATTCGATTCAGACCATCAAATGAGATGTGCATAACCTGTCTTCCTCTCTCTTTGTAACAAAGGATCTTCAAGTTCTGTCGGTGCTTTAAACAATTTTCTCTTCTCCTTATTAGTATATCACTCAGAGTCTACAATTTTATAGGACCTACTGAAGAAATCAATTCCCAGATCTGATCGAGAAACGAGTTGGTATTTCTCATTTTCATGGACACTTCTATACCAGAAACATCGTAGCCCCTCCGGGACCTGGACTTTTGCAGTCAAACATTCACAAACAACGATGCAACTACTGATAACAAAAAAAAAAAAATAATAATAGAGAGAACAGAAAAGATGCTGTCACCAACATACCATAACCTAGGATGACAGTGTTGAGAGAAACGAAGACCGCACAGGCAAAAACATATCTTCTGGTACTTCTCCTCCTCTCCAACTGCTGCTGGTAATGAACCAAATCGTCCTCAAAATCACCGTCCTCGATCTCGAAACCCGTTTTCTTGTACTCCTTCATACCCTTCCGTGGATCTGCCCTCGCATTTTCTCCAGTTCCCACCGATCCCATCTCCTCTTCTCTTCACCGCCTGAGCTCTATCAAACATAACAAGAGACTTCCGGTTCTCCCATAGAAAAGGACTTGGCAGGTGGGGGGTCAATCTTTCTTCTTTATTTTTTTATCAGGTCGAGTTCTTGAGTTTTTCACATGTGGAAGTTCACCCTAAAATAACATCAAGTGGGTGCTCTGGAGGTATCAAAGCAGCAAGTGGAGTGAGTACAATATAGGATAGTCGCATCTTTTGGCACCCTTTTGGCCCTTTACTACAGTCACTCTGGCTCAGCTCCCTGTGGTTTCCAGAGGTTGAAGGCTAAGGAGGAACGCAAAGAAAGGCAACTTGCCACCGCCTCGCCTCGCCTGGTCGCGC